GTGAACATAGTGAACACGAAGAATTGTATGAAGAAAGTACAACTACTAATCAGTCTAAAGGTCACCCTAAAAGTTTCGTCTGGAACTACTTTGACAAGGATAATAATAGTATAACTGCAATCTGTAAAGTTATATTGGATAATAGAAAAAAATGTGGTATCTCATATAATGATAGCTCAACAACTTCAAATTTGATTAACCATCTCGCTCGTCAGCATAGAATATTAAAAAATAATTCTTGCTGATCTATTAAAAATCAATTTAATAGAACTGAGGATAAGTATGAATTAATACAGCAGAATTTAATTTCATTTATCATCAATGACTCGCAGCCATTTAATATAGTAGAATGTAAAAGTTTTCAAAAATTACTGCATTCGCTTGATGAAAATTTTTCAATTTCCTATAATAAAACTATAAAAACTTCTGTTAACAAATCATTTTCTTGGAGTAAAGAACAATTAACAAGCTTAATAGAAAAGGAGAGTGTTGCCATGTCTATGATGATGGATTTTTGGACAAGTCATCTTAACCAGAGATATATTGGAATCACATGTGCTTGGATTTCTGATTCTTGAGAATTCAAAGAAGCACTACTTGTTTTACAACATGTTCTATACCCCCATACAGGTGAAGTTATTGCTGAATTGTTGGATAATATATTGGTTGAATAGGGTTTAATTAACAAAATAACGGTGATAACTACTAACAATAGGTCAAATGTAAAAAAGGCTGCCTGACTATTAGAACTTGATAGGATTCCTTGCGCAGCTCATGTGCTTCAATTGTCTGTTGGAAAAGGGTTAAACATGATTAGGCATTTAGTTTTACGTATAAAACGATTGATTGATTTTTTTAATAATTCACCTAAGCAAACCGAATATCTCCTTACCACACAAAGAGATCTTGGATTTAAAAAATGTTTATCAACTATTAGAGATATTTCCACATGATGGAATTCATCATTTTACGCATGAGAAAGACTTCTTTATTTAAAAAGAGCAATAGTATACCTTCCATCACAGCTTCAATCAGATGAAAGTGTGCCCGTACGAAAGAATGGTAAACGATTAGCACGTATTATGCTTAGTGATGATGAATGGATATTTTTAGACGAATTGAATGATATATTGTGTGGTTTTGAAGAAATAACGACGTTACTAAGTGGAAATACTTATATAACAATTTCTTTAATATATCCAGCTATTTCAATATTAGTGAAAACTTTAAAAATATTATTACAACAATCTTATATTGAATCAGCTTCA